TGTATTTAAATGTATGTAATTATATATTAACCCGTTCACATTGATTTCCTCATTTCATCTTCTGTCCAGACGGTGGTATCTGACTGTTCGTTTGTGGCCTCTTTAGCCATCAGTGCAGCCTACGAGAGACGCTACAACAAAAAACTCATCACCAGGTGCTGTGTAGCTTCTGTTCTTTACTGATATTGTTTTTATGGCACATCAGCATGCAGTGCATTTTAATTTAAACTGTCTTTCATACTAAAAAGCAAAATAGCCATTGAACCTTGCATGTGTGTGTGTTGCAGCATAATCTACCCTCAGAACAGACGAGGAGAGCCAGAATACAACCCCTGTGGAAAGTACATGGTCAAACTCCATATCAACGGAGTTCCCAGGAAGGTAAACAACGAATTACAACAGTTAGTTACCTGTTGGTTATTTGCATTGCAAATATTTTGTCTTTACATTGTGAGTTGAGGTTTTTTTTTTTTTTTGGAGGGGGGGGGTGTTGTTGTTGTTGTTGTTTTAGATTTAATAATGCATTCTGGTGTTAATTTAAATATAACAATAGATTTTTTTTTTTAAATAAAAGTATACAAATTCAACCCTTTTTTTTTTTACTTCAAAAAATGGAAAATGGGGAAAAAGTCTTACTTCTATCTGATAACTGCTGTGCATGAGAAAAAGTTATAGTTATGTTCTTTGTTATATTACTCCTGCTTTCCTTAAACTGAGAAACTAACTCTTTGCCTGTTCCAGGTTATTATAGATGACTTCCTCCCAGTGGATCGCAATGGAGAGTTATTGTGCTCCTACTCCAGCAACAGGAACGAGCTCTGGGTGTCCCTGATTGAGAAGGCCTACATGAAGGTGATGGGCGGCTACGACTTCCCTGGTTCCAACTCAGTGAGTAAACCGGGACATTTGTTAATTAGTGATTTCTCCTGGTGCAAACTGGTAACATCTAAAAACAGCTCCCCGATAAAAAGTAATTAAGTAAAATATTTTGTGCAGGGATTTGCTGGAACTGAGGAGAAAGGAATGTACAGTTGCAATAAGTTTAAATATATTTAAAAATAAATGTGCATATTTTTTTTTAGCTTGATACATTTGTGTCTTTGTAATTAGTTCACTTCCAGGTTTAGTAACCCCAAAAAGCTTTGGTGTTGCCATGCTGTTGAACAATTTTCTGCATATATTCTGAATTCGAAAAAAGTCTGATGTCAAAGTCAAGAAATTAGTTTTCTTAAGAACTGTTTTCATAATAGCCTAATTTTTACAGAATATTGACCTGCATGCTCTCACTGGCTGGATCCCTGAACGCATCGCTATGCACTCTGACAATCAGTCGTTCAACAGGGACGACACCTTCCGCATGCTCTTCCAGAGGTAGGTGCACAGACTTGCACGGGCATAATTATTTTATAGGCCATAATAAATTCCTCAACTAAACATCTGTGCTTATTCTCACTCTGTGTGTGCTTCTCTCTCTCCTGTTTAAGGTTTCACAGGGGTGACGTTCTCATCACCACAGCAACGGGTGTAATGACAGAGGAGGAAGGGGAAAGATGGGGTTTAGTGCCAACACACGCCTACGCTGTTCTTGACATCAGGGAATACAAGGTTAGCGTTGGTTATTTACATTATACTGTCAGTTTATACACATCAAGCCGTCTGTGAAGGTCATCAAGCCATTAGTGGCCCTCATACACAATGGATAGTGGACTTTCTAATTTCCAGCAGGGGGAACTGATTTTGTTGCAAAAAAAAAGTCAGATTGATGTTTGTGAGAAAATGTTTCTACTTTTCACCTGATTTGTTTCTTTAAGCACTTATCAAGTTAAATTTGTATACAAAGATGATCATAAAGGAACGATGGGATTGTCTTACTATTGCGGTTGCACATTCAGTGTTTCCTTCAATTTTTCATCTGCCTTATATTGACTCAGAGATGGAGTATGGGGGGGAAAATCAGGTTTATGACATTTATATTATACTGATCCTGCTGCAGCTCCGATATCCGTAACACTGGTGAACTCAATATTTCAATATGAATTGAATTCAGCCCTGCTAACCGGCTGTGCAGGTATCTCTGAAGCTTCTAAAAGGTCTCTGTGCATGGTTTTGCTAGTGATTGTCAATTATGACTTCCTTAACAAGCTGCTCATGTCAGTAGGTTCAGAAAATGATGAAAACAAAAAAGTTTTTAAAAAAAGAAAAAAAAAATTGAAACTTCCCAAAATACAAAAATTCCTCATGACGCTAAACTGAAGAATGAGCATTTCATTCTTATAATCTTGCTTAGTAAATGTTTAGTAAACCCACTAGTTTGTAGTATTTGTAGATAATTCTGTCATTTTTTTCTGCTTGTGTAATTAACCTCATACCTGCGGGTTTGTTTCTCTTGTAGAAAATGCGATTCCTGCAGCTAAAGAATCCATGGAGTCATCTGCGGTGGAAGGGACGCTACAGTGAGCGCGATGAGAAGAACTGGACACCTGAGCTCCTGAAATACCTCAACTTTGACCCCAAGACAGCTCAGAAGTTTGATAACGGTATCTGAGTTTATTGAGTTTTACATTCAGTACTTTGACATTGGTCACACACATAGGTCTTTATATTGTGTCTTTAAGTAATTCCAGGGTATGGAGCATATTCAGTCGCAGTTTAGCTGCTACAGTCGGTTTGTTTTTCTGTTCCTGGTAACTAATGCACTATTTATTTATTTTTTTTTACGCTTTTTAAACATTGTATGTACACTTACTGTATGTGCATTTAAGAACCTTGTGAAAATGTTAGTCACATTCTTAAATAATCAAAGGGTATTTTAAATGTTATAGAAATATGTGGCACTTTGCATCATGCATAAAATTACTCACACAGTGCTAGATTAAATAGAGGGTATGCCTCACTCTGGTTGCCTCTGTCAGGTGGTTTTAGTGTTTACACTTTCTCATCACAGAGAGAGACAGAGGTGCTGAAATCTTTAACATTTGCCATTATAATATCTCAGAAGACAGTTTACCGGTGTTGCAGTTTAATAAAATATGAATTGGATAAACATAAGAAAATAAATGGACGGATAGATTAGCAAACTGATTCCTTCTCACTGTCACCAGATCCACCATCTTTCTGTATGTAGTTTGCCAAAGGCATTCAGTTAGTCAGGTTAGCTTAATTAGTGATTCCAAATTGGCCGTAGGTAAAAAGGTTGAGTGTGAATGGTTATCTGTCTCTCTGTGTCCACCCTGTGATTCACTGGCAACATGACCAGGGTATACCTAAAGGCAGCTGGGATCGGCTTCCACCAACCCTAAACTGGATAAACAGAAGAAAGTGAATGGAAAGATAACTGCTGTTGTGAATGGGTGCCATATAAATAAAAAAAATAATTCAAAATGAAATAGTATCCACAAAAGAGCTTAAGAAGGTAGAATTAAAATATTATGCTTTACAAATAATAAACATTGGAGAGTGTTTAAAAATTAAAATCACTTGCTAAGAAAACAAAAGTTACAAAAGTTACTCACCATGATGTGCAGCGCTGACTTTATTCATAAGCTTATGACATAGTCGATATGTTGCTAATGAAATCCAGTATGTACCTGAAGTCACTGTGAGGGTATAAATCCAAACAATTTTTTATCTCTCTTGGCAAACTTAAAATGATTAAAAAATGATAAATTAGTGTTAATGATTAATTTGTGTTTGCTTTCCAGGTGTGTTCTGGATCGCATGGGAGGACCTTTGTCAGTACTATGATGTCATCTACCTGAGCTGGAATCCTGCACTCTTTAAAAACTCCTCCTGTATTCACAGGTGTCTGTTAATTTATATTACTCATGTTTTATGGATGCAGAGTTTGTCACTCACATTTTAAGGACTATTTAAGGGAACAAAAAACATTACATAGTATCTTACACTTAAATATTCTGGTACATTTTGTGACATTCTACACTGACATGTCTATGTTCTGGTTTCTTTTCCATCTGCAGTACCTGGGATGGAAAGCAGGGTCCAGTGAAGGATGTCTACAGTCTTGCCAACAATCCCCAGTACAGGCTGGAGGTTCAGTGTCCAGCTGGTGGTGCTGCTGTGTGGGTGCTTCTCACCAGACACATCACTGATAAGGTAAAGGCACAGATCTGATATGTTTTTATTTCATCCAGATTTCATTTCCATTAATGTGGTGGCCTGATACTGTAATGCTACACTTTTGTGCTATGACTGTGTCTGTCCAGGATGATTTTGCACAAAACAGAGAGTTCATCACACTGGTCGTTTACAAGACGGATGGCAAGAAGGTTTACTATCCAGGTGAGGTTTGATAGATGCCTTAGAGGACTTTTTTTTTTCTTTCTCTGCACCACCGAGCAAGGACTGTTCCACTATAGATGAATGGTAGCAGGAGATTGATGGCAGCCTTTATTTCTGCCCTTCCGCCGCATACAGCAAGGTCAGATGCCTGGAAGAAAGAGATTAGTCTATTGCAAAGCCCTTTTTACAACGACACAAAGAAAAACTACACTTCACTAACATTTACTACCCAATAAAATAGATACTGGGGGTTAAGAAGAAATTCAGTTAGAAGTTGAGTTTGAAGAAAGTTTTACGTTATCTGTAAGCTACAGTGTGGTTATTTACTTTGAATACATCCTCTTCCTCCCCAGCGGATCCCCCTCCTTTCATAGATGGCATCCGCATCAACAGTCCACACTATCTGACCAAGATGAAGCTGACCAGTGCAGGAACACACACCTTTACCCTGGTGGTTTCCCAGTACGAGAAACAGACCACCATCAACTACACACTGCGGGTGAGAGATGTTAACTCTGTTTATGCTCATACACAGAAGTACAATCTGAAAAGTAATTTAAAAAGTCTAGTCTTAATTCTTTTTTTACTACTGAAATCATTTCTAACTCTAACTAGAATTTGATGTGACAGCTGGTAACAACAGTTTCAAAGCTATCTATTGGGCATTTTGTCAGAAGAACTCAAGTACACAGGAGCCAAGTTGATCTATAAGTTTCAGTTGTGTTTCCTACAAACTCATAAGGATCAAAACCTGGTTATGCTAGAATAAGCACGATGTCTGTTTTTGTTTCTGTCAGACTTACTGTACATACTTATACATGCAGTTAGGAACAGTGACTGCTCTTCTCTGATCTCCTCTCCCTATAAATTAAAATTCACCTCTCACATTATTCTGCTACACCCACTTCAGCTTGTCTGAAAAAGCAGCTCCTTGAGTGTAGATTCTCAGAGACTTTTTAAGTGCAGGCATGTGCTGCGTGACCCAAATATATTTTTTAGTTATTTATAATTCATGGACTCCTCTTGCAAACCGCAGTAAGGACTTGGGAAAACAGTTTATACTGAAATCCCTCATTAAAAAACAACGTGCACTCGTGTGCACGTGTCAGCTGGAAGCTTTGTGTTTTATGTGTGTGTGAATTCTGTAACAGCAACACGACTGCTGTAAACACTGCAGGCTTTCTCTCAGTTTCTCTCTCTCCCTCTGTCTCCAACAAGCCAGCCGTGAAGAAAAAATCCCCTCCTATCAGCTCACATCAGTGTTTCTCTATGAATATCATCTTTGGAATAACTGATTGAACTCTCTCGTGTTCACTGTGTTTTCACCAGAGATCAAAGCATGAAGCAGAAAATCTGATTTCTTTTCTGATGTTTCTTTTGCCAAAATGGCACTGATATAAAAGATCTATTTTATGAGCAGATGGTTAAGAATTCAGTTTTCTACAGTGTTTTGAGCTACAATATTCACATTTTGACAAAGTTATAGATGATGAAGGAGTATTATTAGTAGGGCTGGGTATCGTCACTGATTTCTAGGTCCTGAATCGATTTGATTCAATTTAATTCGATTCAATTCAATTCGATTTGAATCTGGGAAATTTCTCCTCAGACAGTCAGAAATATTATAATTCATATCAGTACATTTACATATTTTTGTATCTATAAAAAGGAAGCTGACACTTTCCAGACTCAAAGGTGTAAGCATCACAGCAGATGCCTTTGTGTCAAAGTAGCTGAAGATAAAACACAGAAAAACATGAAGGTGATTTTCCTG